GCTTGTCTTATTATCTCCCTTATCGAAAGCTGTGAGAGTAACAAGGAGGAGAAATGAAAATGACAACTAGCTGTGAAAGCAGAGGTTTAGAAACATGCTGACAATAATGTCAAGTTGTGGAAAAACATGTTGGTTTTATCAACACTTCAGACTGACTCATGACTGAGACTGGTTTCAGACAAGGGTGCATCTCTCTCCTGTGAGAGCAGATCACATTAAAGCGTGGGTGTGAGGTTGTTAACAGTCATGCCCCAGAGGAAGACATGGATTTACATGCACACACGAGCTAATATGCATGTTCCTATGCCGTTCTGTTGCTCATACGCCCCAGAAGACGCTGTGAACCATCAACATTCCTCTTTAATTATGAGTAATATTTCAGATACAACCTCTGCATGTCTGACACTCCTAAGAGAGGTGATTCTGATTCACCGAGATCAAACTCCGTCCACGGTAAAGTCTTTATCTTCAATCTGTTTCCGATAGACGGTCCGACTCCTGCACCAGTGGAACATTCCAAATAACTCCTCCAAATTAGATCATTAACCCAACATAAAACAGAGCTGATCCTCTAAGAGAGAAAAAAAAACATTAAACAACTTTGCAGGAGAAGAATTTCTTATTAATTCCCAATAGTGTCTAAAATAGAAAATGATTAATCAGCGCATGTGCTCCGTAGAGTTGGGACCACTAACAAAGCTCCTGATTTTGATGCTGGCTCTTCATGAATACCAAAGCATTTATGAGGCGTAACCTCCATCCAATAATCATAAAGAAACAAATATTATAAGACGAAAAAACATTTAGAGCCAGATGCTTTTGATGATACATGGTTAAATAAAAATGCTGTGTTGTTTTACGATTATGAAATATATCTAGATTAAAAGAAATGAAAAATTATTATTGCAAACTGAATCCCCATCTTAAAAATATGCTCTGTTTGTGCATCAAGAGTTTACGGCTTGTAACGTCTTCTTCTGCTGTTCATGCAACTGTACTATTGTCTCTCTAGTGACACCAGCTGCTTCGGACAGGTACTGCAGGAAGAGTTGTGTATTTTAAAGGAGACATGTTATGACTTTTATTTGTTTAGTTGTAACCTATGTCTATGTAAAACATTTTATGGAGTTCTTTGCATAAAATCCTTCTAACATAAAGCAATTTCAGCAGTTTAAATCTCGACACTTTCATTACCTTCCAGAATGAACTGTTGAAAATAAGCTGGGGATTGCCACACCCACTCCTCCCCGGCTCAGGCTGCTATAAGCTGAGATGCTCTAATATGCTAGGTTCCCTGTTTGTGACATCACAAACGGGGACTTCTTGAAACAGATATTTTTAGGCAGATAGTTCATAAAACCAAACACTGACAGACAAAGAATGAACTTTTTTTAACATTTGGAGTGTTTATAGAGGCAGTAGACACCCACATGGCAGCACAGAGGTATACAAACTGCGAGTTATGCATATGTCCCCTCTAATAAAAACAAAAACCATGTTGACAGCATGGCTATAAATGTATATAACATGCTTTAGATAAGTATTATATACATAAACTATATGTAGTGTCACCTGTATGTTTGTAAATAAATGTACAACCTACTTTTCTGTTGTTTGTTTTATAATTTTGAAAAGCTTGACTACAGAAAAGGATAATTCTAGTGATGGGAAGCTGAAAATAATATTTTTATTATATTGTCATAAAGCAGTTATTTAAGTGGTGATCTATGTAGTTGCTTGTTTTTATGTTTAGCAAAAAATAAGGATATTTTTGTTGCATTTTTCATCCAAAAACGAGGGTTAATGAAGTCTAAGAAACCCTTTAAATACTCCAAATTACATGAGCAGTCAGACTATCTAGACAAATGCACTGGGGTATATTTGGAGGAATGCTTTAAAATTGTGCAGGGCAGATTTTATTTCCTGATATTTGGACATCCCGCCTCGGGCTGGATAACAGCAACGTGACTCTACCACTGACATGCAACATGGATATTTTATCTCCACAAGTAACACAAGTTTGAAGGAGTTTTGCTATGTGGTGAAGTTGCTCATGCTAACAGTTAGCTTCTACTAGCTGAGATGTTCTCTGCTATTTCCTGGATGCTAAACCAACAACAGCCTTCTCTGTCGCGAGTCAAGATGGGTGAGTCCATAAACATTGACAGTGTGATGTAGATCTGTCAGGCTTTTCAAATCCTGGCACTTCAATGAATTTTCGACCAGAAGCTAGAGCGGGAGATAGGTGTGGGAGAGTGTTTTCATGTTCAGCCTGCATGAAAAACTCAGAGTGAACGAATTTAATCAGAAATAAGAATTTAAAAATGGTGTTTCAGTGATCCACACTTTAAAAAAATGATTGCTGTCCAACCTTAGTGATGTCACTGTATTGAATGTACAATTTTTAGTTCAGTTTTTTGCTACGAAAACTGACTCAAATGTCTGACATGATTTGTTTCGTAGCTCCGCACAGTCTGTGACTTTGGCAAATTTTCCACGTTAAACTAAGAAGCTGTTGGGAAAAACCACCTTCTAAGACGCTGATGATGATGCTGAAAAAACTGAGAATCCAGTCTATATCTGTGCACTTTGCAGCATCTTTCTATTACTTTCTTCGCATTCTCCTCATGTCTCAATGTTTGTTAAATTGACTCAATTGCCAATTTTTTTGGGGTCTTCACAATCAATATCTTTGTGCTTTCACTGCTTCCACTTAAAAAATCTCTTTCTACAGGCTCTGCTTCACTACAGGAAATGTAACCTCTGATGTGAAGCACCTTGTAGATAGAAAGTTTTGAAATACATACGAAATTTCATTATTCAATGTAACAATCTGCATTTCAAATGTCCTTTTGCTCACAGACAAATGATAAATTACCTGTATTGTCATGTTCTGTGCCCCTTTTGTCCACAGCTCCCTCCTGGTTTCCCTCATGTTCTCCATTCTCCCCACCTTTTGGTTTAGTGTTTCAGTTCTCCTGCCTCCTTTAGTGTGTGTGTGTGTGTGTGTTTCCTTTCCCCACTTAGATCATTTACTTTCTTCTTTTTAGATCACCCTGTGTCCTTGTTTCTATTATGTTTTTAGTTTAGTTTGGTTATATTACTAGCTTTGGTTTTCAGGATTATATTTGGTTTTTCCCTTGCTTATTTCTGCTTCTCCTCAGTTCATTGTTTTCACCTGTGCCCAATTCCCACACACCTGCCCCCTCATCTCCTATCACCCAGCGCCTGTGTATACACCCTGCCTGTGTCTCTCTGTGTTTGTCGGTCCATTGTTGTTTGTCACAGTGTTTTGTCTCTCTCAAAGTTTCTCCAGGTTCGTGCTCATAAGTGAGCTTCTGTTTTGTTTCTTGGTCATTCTGTGTTCCTTGAGATTACGCTTGGTTTTGCGCCTTTGGATTTATGTTCATCCTCCTTTAATAAAAGGAATTTATTTTCTTAAAACCACTCCTGCCTCGAGTCGTTCTGTTGGTTTCTGCATCTTGGGTCCAACTCTCCTGCTCGCAGCTTGACATGTATAGCGCCTTTTTAGGGTTCTACAACCCCCCAAGGTGCTTCACAACACAATCAGTCATCCACACACACACATTCACATGCTGGTGGGGATGAGCTACAGTGTAGCCACAGCTGCCCTGGGGCGCACTGACAGAGGCGAGGCCTGCCGAACATTGGCGCCACCGGTCCCTCTGATCACTACAAGCAGGCAAGGTGAGTTAAGATACAGCCGTCAGTCAGTTGTAACCGGCGCAACTTGAAGCTACCAGTGCGGTCTATTCCTGATGTACACCCGTAGCTGGGTGTCTTAACTACATTCACTGGCATGCCAAGGCTGTTGGTGGCAGTAGTATCCCAAAGTGTCTGTGTCTTTGCTGAAAACAGTTCCTTGGACTTGGATTAACTATGTAGCGAGCTGTAACCGTCCTCAAAGTAAGACTAGATAGCTTTAACATCGATATCAGTGATCGTTGAGTTAAAAACTTGACCAGTTTCATATTTGACACCACTCTCTGCTGACAGTTTTGTGGAGCGGATAAGTGTCCAATAGAGGGTTGTTTTTTTTACCTCGTCTACAGCTGTTAGCTGTAATGCTAGCGGTTAGCATTTTCAGTTGGCATCATGGCGTAGCCTGGAGGTAAAAGGAAGAACGTAATGCCTTTAGAGGCGAAGCAATGAGCTAATTCCAGAGTGAACATCGAGGTGACCTACACTAGCTTGAGGGCGCTAATGGAGGCTACAAAATCATGGACTGATGGTGACCTGGCTTTGTTGCTACTGGACTTGTAAGTAATAATATTTTTTGTTCAACAGTGTGGATCTTTTCACTTTGTGGTTTATTTTAGTATTAGTATGCTAATGTTGGTGTTAGCACATTAATGGTGCTAGCTAAAACAGGTTGCAGCAGGGTTTTTTAAAACAGTTGTAATTCCACTTTTAACCAGTAGGGCAGAGGAGCAGGAAACTCTCTAGTGTTCCTTTAATGTCGTCCTTCGCCAGTGGTCTTCGACATAGAGCAGTATTTGAGCTCGGTAAACAAGAGAGTGTAAGCACAGGTCGCATGTCAGAACTTTTTGTCACGAGCAATGATGTAGAAACCAAAACCCGTAGTTATTCACGTCCACAACTAAACCGTGACAACGTAGAATTTACGAATCTCCTTTTTGGTCAGAGCTTTTGAAAGAATCTACTTTCATACCATATATTTTCACTTTCATCGTAGTCAAATCTCTTTGTTTTGAGTGTGTGTGCTACGTGTGTGTACAGGGTCTTTTACATTAGCGTTTACAAAACAACAACAGCGACAAACAGCCAGAATCACCCTCACTACAAATATTCACACATCTTTTTAGAGATGAAAAGAGCCAAAACCACGAAGGAGTTAAATAAATAATCTAATGACTCAATTTCATGTTCAGATGTATCAAACACTTTTAAAAACCACACACAGCCACTCCAAATGTCACACACGACACAAACATGGGTTTCTGTCAGCTTTTCTTTACCTTGGCACTGGAATCCTTGCTTTCCAAACCCCCTGTGGGAAAAAGGAGAGCATGAACTGAATTGTTCTTTGCTGTTTAAACACTGAGTTGACTCATTCAGTCACACTCAGACATCCACAGATCTTTAGTCCAGGGACACACTGTTAGATAACACACATCTGGATTCAAGTGCTATAGAAGTTTTTATACTTTTTTCATTTAAAAAACTTCCTAAATGTCGGTAAATTAGCGGGTATACACTTTTATTTCTGGGGTAAAGTGTCCCATAATCACGTCATAATGTGCATTTTCCCCTACGTCAACCAACCCAATGCCAAGTGTGTGTTTTGCACTAAGGAGTGGCACAGAGAGGAGAACGGGTCACTGTGTAAACCTGCCAACATACATGCCACCAGCAATAAAAGGCCCAAGATCACACTCCCACCTCCAACAGGAGGGGAGTGTAAACGTGGGCGTTGCTCCAACCAAGCTGCCTGCTGCTTCACTCCTCTCACTTTTAAGAAAACGCTGCAAAAACTGATCCAGATTCTCCCAAAAATGCTCCAACACGATCTGGATTAAACACTCTGAGATGTGTGTTCATTTGTATAGAAATCTTTGATTAAATAAGAAACCGTCTGTAAATGTTTAGAATTAGAAACGTTTTGCGTTCAGGTTTATCCAAAAACCAAAGTAAATGTTGGTCAGACAGTTTCAGCAACAAACACCAGCTTCGATGGCTCGCCTGTGTCAGGAAAGGGAAAATATTAGTCATCCAAGCGTTGGAGCAGGACGGTGATCTGTTCAGCAGCGAGGAAGACTTTCACAGGGAGAAAGTTGTCGTTTTAGTTCCTGACTCCAGTTTTTCTTTCATCTTTTGCACCAGAGGAGTGGTTCTCCCTGAGATCCTGGTGACAAAACTACAAAATGTTCAAATAATAATAACCACTGGATTTATCAGGCCAAGAAATCACTTCTGATTGAGATTAGAGGATTTTCTCATTTTCACGCCAAGTAACCTCTGATGACGTAAACTCCTCCCATAGAGTGGCAGGGCAGCTTGGTGGAAAAGGTGAACGAGCCAAGCGTAAAGGTAAAGTTCTCGTGATGGGGAAGTGGTTCCGAAGTGAGGGGAGATGTTGTGTTAGGTTATCCGACATGCAACAGGCAGCAGCAGTCGGGAGGGTGGCGGTGAGACCGAGGGCTTACCAGATGAAGTCGGTGCAGTGGCTGCAGAAGGTCGGCTGCTTGAAGAACCTGGCTATGAATTTATGGTTCTTGATTTCGTGGACGTTTTTTTGCCTCAGCGCACCTTTTCGAGCAAACCTGTTGGCTACGTCCTCGGTGGACGACTCGATCAAACTTACATCAGCCATGTCTCCTACAGGAAAAAGCAACACAAACCAATGCAGCAGCCTTGTCCCTGCTGTCCCGAGTGTGGACGAGCTGTCCTCGGAGTGGAGACACGAGTGAAGCGGCGGTCTTCACTGGAGACTCTGAGCGCTTTCCCAGCCTGTCGGTGCCTCTGGGCTGCTCCACTCACTCTGACAGCTCCGCTGTCTGTCTGTCAGGGCTGGAGGTGTGAGACAGGCTGTTTCCGCTTGGTTCCTTCAAAGTAAAAGTCTGCTATTGAGTTTTATTGTTTGTTTTTGTTTTCAACAAACTCAAATGGGTTAATGTTGTTAGTCTAATTTACGAATTTACTAAAATATTTATGTTCAGTTTTTAAACATATAGTGTAACATGGAATTAGCTAAATAAAATGTTTAGGCTGAATCATGGAAAATAATCTATGATGATGATGATGATGATAATGATGATGTGCAATGACAGCTCAAAATTGTAGCCACAAGCACAAAGGATTTCATGATGCTGCAGAGTTTGCACTATTTGTGCATCCTTTTCATTAATCTTCTTAATCTAATTTCAAAGATAAAAGTATATCAATATCTTTCTGTGATTTTTTTTATCAATTTTTAAACTCAAAAATAAAATCTTTATTTTTTTAATTATGTTACGATTGGTTACATATCTGACCAGTTGCTTTCCCATATACACTCATCTTCATCTTAATACATTATTTGTATGTTTGCTTGTTTTTTCTATTTTTCTGAAACTGTTAAAAGCACATATAGTGCATATTAAACTTAAATCTAGACAGCTTTGAAGTGCCAGAGAGTCTAGCCTTCGATCTGTGCAGCGTTTTATCTTTTTTTCACAATGGATGCTGTTGTACATGAAAGCATCACACACCTCCATTTTAAATCATTTAAAAGAACCAGAAAAACCTTTCTGAATATTCATTTTTCTTCCTTCATGAAGAACATGTCCGCAAATCTATAATAATAATAAAAATGTTGACAAGAAAGTGTTTAAAGCATACACGAGCAAACCTTATTAGTTTATATTTCAAAATGTATTACAGATGCTGATTTTCTCATAAAGTCATTTTGGAGAAGTGACAAGATGTTTTATTTTTAAAAGCTTTTTCCGGTTATGCTTTTACGCAAGGCTTTGCCGCTTGACTCCTCTCCTCTGCGCTTCCTTCCTTCTCACTCCGGCTGATGTCACGCAACAGGATCTGCTTTGGGAGGAACGAGGTTCTGGTCCCCGCTGGAGGATCTGAGGGCTGAGGCGTCCTCGTGTGGAAAAAAACCGCATTACATAGATAATAAACCGATTATTAATTACTTACAGATTAGTTTTGATGTAATAAGCTGAATATAATAAACATGTGTGTGCACATGCAGATAAAAAGATATCACTATTGTGTTTTGAACTATTACAACTGATGAGAACTGTTATGGTTTATTCAGAAACAACACAATATTAATTATTATAGTTGTTCATTTAATATTTTAGAATAAAGTGAAACGTTTAATGCATGAGGTGACTCTTGAGCAGAATATGTAAAGTTTGGTCAGTTCTTGTGCTTGTTGAGTCTGCGGTGTCGTGGAAAAACCCTGAACCCTGAGGACAAGGAGACAATCGCAGGATTACAGCAGGCAGGTGTGGGAGTATAAAGGCTAGAATGAGATGTGGCATTGGGTTTGCTTTCTTACACAAGCAGACTTCAGGTCATGTTTTGCATGAATTTGCAAAATGCTGAAAGTGTTTGCTCTCTGTTTTAACTTTGACCTTTAGGCTGAGAACTCCCTGGAAATCCACACCCACCCAAGAATTCAGGATATGCAGTCACTGTTACTACATGTTTAAAGAAAAAATGCTGAACACAAAGGAAAAATTATGTTTCACTGAGTTAAATCACAAAAACAAGAGTTTCATTTGACTTCTTTTGGTTTGGTTTTATCAATCAATCAATCAGATTTATTTATAAAGCGCTTTTCAAACAATGTGCTACTCAAAGTGCTTTACAAAATGACCCCAGATTCCCATAACAGGTTAAAAACATTAACAGACATATGCAAGCACACGCACACACACACACACACACACGCACGCACGCACACACACACACACACACACACAAGTAAAAATTATATTTGGCTGAGTCCAGATGAGCCAAGTAAGTAAGGCAAGGAAACGCCGTCAGAGGAGCCGTCTGCCCCGGCAGCATCAGGTCTTCCACACTAAGTCAGGGCGCTCAATGGAGGGGGAGCATAGACCCCCACCTATAGAGCGCCCAGGAAGCTACAGTCGACCACCGCTCCCAGGGCAGAGGGCCCCTACAGAGGAAACACTGGATTAAAATGAGTAAAAATATAACAAAAGAGCTAATATAAGGGACAAAAGTTAGAAAATAAGTAATAAATAAAATCATACAGACAGTAAAATCATAATATTAAATAATAAAACTGTGCTAAAATATAATCATATAAAACATGCAAAGCAAGTAATAAAATGTAATCATGTAAAATGAGAAATAAAACTGTAGTAAATATTTAGATAAAAGCTAACCTAAATAGGTGGGTCTTGAGCCTGGACTTAAAAACATGAACGTTCTCTGCGGTCCTGAGGTCCTCTGGCAGCTCGTTCCAGAGGCGAGGGCCATAACGCTGGAAGGACGCCTTGCCATGAGTGTGTGTCCTAACTTTAGGGATGACCAGGAGACTTCTGCCAGAGGAGCACAGAGGCCGTGAGGGTTCATATGGTAAAAACAGACCATTAAGACACTTAAAAACCATTAGAAGAGCCTTAAAATGGATCCTGACACATACGGGGAGCCAATGTAATGATTCTAAAATTGGTGTCATGTGCTCCCGCCTCCTGGTCTTCATCAGGACACGTGCTGCCGAATTTTGTAGAAGTTGTAAGCCTGAGATGCTCTTTTTGGGAAGACCAGAAAGCAGGGCATTGCAATAGTCTATCCTAATGGTGATAAAAGCATGCATCAGCATCTCCGTATTGGCCCGAGAGAGAATGGGGCGGACTCTGGCGATGCTCTTTAGATGATAAAAACCTGTTTTTGTGATATTTTTAATGTGTGGGATAAAAGTCAGCTCAGAGCCAAAAATCACACCCAGGTTCTTCACTTGTTCAGATGGATTAAAAGACAGAGATTGTAATTTCGGTAAAAGCTTCTCTCTCTGGGCCTCAGGACCAATGACTAAAACTTCAGTTTTGTCCTGGTTGAGCTGGAGAAAGTTCTCTGCCATCCAGGAATCAATGTCTAAAATACAGTTAAAAAGTGCATCCATTGACCGAGAGTCATCAGGACACACGGAGATGTACAACTGTGTATCATCAGCATAACTGTGAAAGTTAACCCCGTGTCTCCTGATGACTCTGCCAAGAGGGAGCATATAAAGATTAAAAAGCACTGGGCCTAAAATTGAACCCTGGGGCACACCACATGTAATCCCATGGACCCTAGAGGAACAGGCATCCAAACTCACCATGAAAGTCCTGTCTGTGAGGTAGGATGTGAACCATCTATGTACAGCACCAGAGAGGCCGATCTGTTGTAAACGAGTTAAAAGAATAGTGTGGTCTACCGTATCGAAGGCAGCACTTAGATCCAGTAGAACCAACACTGTCAACTTCCGTTTGTCATAATTTACTCAAAAATCTTTTAAAATCTTCAGAAGGGCCGTCTCGGTGCTGTGGTTATGTAAAATATTAGAAATGTTCCTGTTTTTATGCCATTCTTCTACCACAGACGTGACTAAATTTAATTTTATCTAAAGGAGACAGTTAAAACTAGTATTTTGTTCATTCTACTGGAATAAACGTTTCATGTCCTCCAGATTTATGCTAAAAATAGTTTTGTTGTTGCATTTTGTCTCCATTTTACAGACTCTCCATGTGACCTTCTGTCTATTTGCTTTTGTCTCAAATCAAAGTTTTCAATCAACTTTAAACAAATACGTTTGTATGCTAAACTTGTGATCTTTGAGCTCAATCACTATGAGCGCAAGCTGGCCTTTGATTGGATGAGACCATCACTGGGCCAGCAGCCTGTGGCTCTTATCTAGCAGCTCCCTCCCCACCCAGAAACAGGAGCAACACCGATGTGAAGAAGATGGTTCCAACTTTGGCTCTGCTTCTCCTCAGCCTTTCGGCTTTGTCCACAACCGTATTGCCTGCAAAAGGTAAAACGGCACTATTATTTCCATATTTGTTACTGAGTTTATGTTGCTGTGAAACCTGGATGGTTCAGGCTCCTTTTCTTGTCTGGGATCAGTTTGCAGCCGACCTCCTATCCCTGAAGGAGTCAACGCTTCAGCTCTGAAACGTGTGTTTGAGGTTGGGGAAGAGGTGACCCTCTCGTGTGAGCGAGGGTACTCGTCTTCAGCAGCTTCGTCTTCGAGAATAACCTGCACAGCTGCAGGGGAATGGACGCAGTCGAACCTGGCCTGCTCCCGTGAGTTCCGATTGTGCTCCTGATTCATATTTTAACTTATTCTCTTATAATTAGAAAAAGTGGCACAAAGTTCTGTATTTCTCTCCTTCAATCAGATAATTGAGCAATTGAAGATACAAGCTGAAGATACGCTGAATTCAAGGCAATATAAAACAATGTCCTTTAAAAAGGTTCAATCTTTTGCAGATCCACGTAGAAAATAATTATCTGTACCAAACCATTGTTGAAGTGCAGAGAAATGCCAAAACATGGGTAACAGAGAACTGAAACAAACAAAACTCCATTTATAAAGATAAAAGACTGATGAGGCAGCATTAAATAATGCTCATAGGGGAGTTCAGTCATGGAAAAAGGAGGAAAACTGAAGCAGCAAAACCTGAAATCCTATGGCACTTTTACATCTGGGCCAGCGCGGACCAGACTGGGTCGCTTTTAAAGTGTTCCTATCTAGGTAGCCTCGTATTTTTCCGCACTCAACCAGTTGGTTTTTCAGCCCACAAGGAGGTCTGCTTCAGGCTGAACAGGTTCAACACACCCCTACCAACTGATTGGCCAGCTCAAATACACACTTACTGCTAGAGGGATCCTTTGATTGGTGGATAGAATCAAGCAGTGGGAGCTTCCTGCATGAGTGATTCCTTATAGTGATGGGAATTCCGGCTCTTTTTAGAGAGCCGGTTCTTTTGGCTCAGCTCACCAAAAAGAGCCGGCTCTTTCGGCTCCCAAGTGGCTCCTCAGATTTTCAGTTGTGTAGAGTGCATTTATAACCAAAATAATGCTAAACTAAATGTATAATAATTTACTAATGTAAAAAAAGCAATATATCAAATGTTTATCATTTCTATGGATTTATTTACTGAACACTTTAAGAAATCTCCACTTTCCGACTGCTGGCGCTCATTTTCTCACCGTCTTCGTCGCGCTCTCCTCCCCCTCGCTCGCCTTTTTCCTCCTCCTCATTCCCTCTTGTCTCCCTTCACCCGCACGTGCTCTGCTGTGTGTCTGAGTCTGATCCTCCCTCTTCCCCGCCCCTACTGCTCTGTGTGGACAGTCTGGACACACAGTTACACATGTTGACCAATCGCCTGTAGCTTTCACCAAGGCGGGGGGGGGGCTCCCAATGACGAGCCAGCTCCCGTCTTTCACTTCAAAGAGCCGGCTCTCAGAGCCAGTTCGTTCGCGACCGACACATCACTAATTCATTATCATTCTGGATACTGAGAAGTCAACGTCACCTCTGACTGAAGCTGCGTCTCTCCTCGCTGCAGTGAGGAGCGCGCACCTACATACACAGAGAGAGACAGCGCTGTCTTGAGCTGCACGGCCATCATTTAAGGGAGACGTCACAGACTTTTCCGCGCGTCTTTTTCCCCGCCTACGCGCTCGGAGATTTCCCCATTCCCGAGAAGTGTGTGGGAACAAAACCTACCAGAGCGAGACCCAGTTTGATGCCACCCAGTCTGGTCCGTGCTGGCCCAGATGTGAAAGCGCCACTAGAGAAGCAACAAGATAATAGACCGGCAAACTGAGAAACAAAGGACTACCATGCAGGAAGTGTCGATGAGCTGATGAGACACATGTATGATGTAATGATGAGAGAAAAAAAAGGCACAAGAAGACAGAAAAATATCAGTAAAGGCAAATCTAAAACAACTACTGAATATGAAAACCTAAAAATGTGAGTTTTTCTGTTTCTACAGCCAAAATGTGCCCAATTCCTCGAGTCCTGCAGCCATATGCGAGGGGGAGAACAGAGGCTCCTTATAAGAGTGTTCTAAACTACACATGTGACGATGGGTAAAAGGAAAAACACCAAATTATCACTTTCTAAATGGATCATTACAAAATGAACAAGTGAAACATATTTTCTGTTTATCAGGTATGACCTTCAAGGATCCAATGAGAGCAAGTGTTTACACGATGGCACCTGGAGTCACCCACCTCCTGTCTGCAAAGGTAAAGAAAAAAAAATGGGCTCCATCTTTCGTCACCTGAGGGGAACAGAACAGTTTTTATCATTTTAACCAAATCTTATTAAACAGCGTTAACATTTTGAACACGCAGCTGTGAACTGTCCCCTTCCCAAACCACCAAGAGACGGAAGAGTCGTCCACGATAAGCCAGTTACAGGAACTACAACCATCTATGGACACAGCTGGATGTATGAGTGCAATCCGCCTAAAGCCCCAACCTACGAGAGAGGGTTCTGCATGGCTAACGGAACCGCAACAGAACCACCAGTTTGTCGAGGTTTGCAGATTTTCACTTAAACCATTGGTTTTTAATATGGAAGATTTTCTTTTAAAGGGGACATATAATGCAAAACTGACCTTGTGCATCCTTTGTGCTGCCATGTGGGTCTCTACTGCCTCTATAGACAATCAAAACATAAAAAAATCCTTCCTTTTTTGTTAGTGTTTGGTTGAGGAATTATGTGCCTAAATGTGCCATTTCAAACGGTTCCTGTTTGTGATGTCATCAATGGGAAAATAAGCATGGAAACCCTCCATCACCTGCAGAGGAGCAGCTGCAGTGGCTCTACTGAGAGCCCTTCCCGGATATCCGAGCTTCTCAGCTTATAGCAGCATGAGCAGGGAGTGGGTGGGTGTGGCAAGCTCCAGCTTGTTTTTTTAAAGTGACAGAGCCCTGAAACGGGTCATTGTGGAAGGTACTGAAACTGTCCCAAATAAAACTGCTGAGATCACTTGATGTGAGAGGAATTCAGAACGTCATCAACATGTTTCGAATCGACCTTAGAATAACTCAAGAAAAAAAGTCATATGTCTCATTTTAATCATTATTAGATCTTTGTACTATGTTTGTCTTCTTAATGTAATTTCAGAGGTGAGCTGCCCCATCCCAACGAACATACCCTACGGCTACATCACGTTTGCTGTGATGAGACAACATGGATACAAGGAGAAGGTTAGGTACGCCTGCAATGAGCACTACACTCTGGAGGGTGAGGCTGAGATCCAGTGCCAAAACACAGGAAACTGGTCCTCAAAACCAGTCTGCAGGGGTGAGTCAGAGGGAAATCAGGTTTGGCTCCATGCCCTTATTTTATAGATGTTGTTGCAAACGCTATACCTGAACTTAAAGTATCAACATTAAATCTAAAATATAATTAGATTTACCAGGGTTTCCCCCAGCGCTTTATAAGCCTGGCGGCGCGCCAGGCTTTGCTTGGCCACCCGCCAGGCTAAGCGTCATGCCCCGCCCCCCTCCCTGACCCTACTGTGTCCGCTGACAAGAAACGGTGCAACAAAACTAGAGCCCTCCATCAGCTGACACTGGTGAGAAACAGCAGCGGTATGTGTGCAATCTACCCCCACCACCCCCACCCCGACGGTCGAAGCCGCCAGGCTTAACTCACTTTCTGGGGGAAACCCTGCTTTACCCCAATGCTAAGTTTTGTAGCCCACATGCTGGATTTGTGATAGAAATATTTTAGGGTCCGTTTTTCTTTCCATCCAGCTCCCTGCACGGTTGGTATTAAAAGGGGCCGTATCTTCTACAACGCTAAGAAGCTCTGGATTGAAGAACTGAAGCCAAACAGAGTGCTCCACAGAGAGCCCGTTGTCTTCTACTGTCTGAATAAAACCGAGAAGTGTGGCTATCCTGTGGCCAGCACCTGCAATGATGGCAACCTCCCAATCCCAGAATGCTTTCAGGGTGGGTTGATACCAACTCAGCTACAGACCAAATATTATATTATTACACATAACATGGCTTTCTCTTTTGTTTTCTTTTAACTTTAAGAACCAGGAAAAATGGAGTACAACTTGAAGGCTAAAACGCTTCCATCAGAAATCAGAATGTGCACTGCGTCACCCACCCCAAGGCCGACCAGCTCTGCAAGACCTTCATAACAAGATTACATATTTGACAACTGAAACTAAGACTACTTTTGATGAGGCCTGCTGTTAATTCTCTTGTTTTAATGGCAACAAATAAATTACAGAAAACTGTTGAAAAAGTTATTAAATTGTCTGTTTATTTATCCTCAAAAAGCCAACATGAACGAATCAGAGCTGAAGAAACGGTGAAGCTCAATTTGTTTTTTCTGTCTGAAGAACAATCATGCGAATGATATATTGACACTTAAATGTTGAACAATTCTAAGAACTGTAGTTATTTTTATTAATTTATTTTTTCTGAAAATCTGTATTGATGGTTTAGGCATGGGCATAATTTTTTTTTTGGGGGGGGGGGGGGGGGGGACAGGGGGGACATGTCCCCCCCCCCCCCACTTTTTCCAAAGTCAACTTTTGACCCCTGCACTTTTTACCATCCAAAAATAATATTACGCTATATTAAATTGACACTGGTTGAGCTCTAGGACCAAGCAGAAAACAACCATTTGTGTTGAAGCCTGTTTCCCATTAGAGCATACTGTAAATACCCCCCCCCCCCCCCCCCCCCCCCCGTGTCCCCCCACTTCTAAAGTGAAAATTACGTCCATGGGTTTAGGCATAAATATAGAAAGAGTAATCTGCATTTCTGCATCAGATCCTTGCACAGGAAGTACAAAAGGTCACAGATGTGAAAAAGGAAGCTCGTGTTCTTACATCTAAAGAAGACAGCTGCAGAAGGGAACAGCTCCATGGGAATCTAAGCTCCTGTGAATGTTGAGATAATTATTTAAATTCAGATTATTTTGATGTCAAGCCTTCGGCACTAAGAAACTATGTGTAAGCAGAGTTAATTCTTTTCTGTGCACTGAGAAGTCACATATCACTCCATTTATACAAGTGCACAAATAAAATGATTCCATTTGCAGATGGCATCATGAATACTTCTGGACGTACCAGAATCACGGTGACTCCAGATGCTGCAGAGGCCTGGAAACAAAAGTAACACTGAAGTATATAGGAGTTAACTAAAGGGCAAAAGCTGAAGCTTCTCAGTCAACCAGGTCATGGTAATCCAAGGGGTTCCAATGAAGGCAACTGGAGTCGACTTCTTTGGTTTCTTGAAGATGTTCCGCTTCTCATTCTAGAAGCTTTATCAATTCTGACTGGCACATGGGGGAGTCGGTCTTATAAACATTGTTTGTTGTTCCTTTAAGCCATAATCAGCAACTTTTAACTATTTTTAAATCATTTTGTGAGCCAGTATGCGTTAAAATGTTCCTTTAATTTGATTTAAATCAATTCAGTTTATTTATACAGCACCAAGTCACAACAAGAGTCGTCTCAAGGCACTTCACAAAGTAAACGTTTCAATACTTCAGTTCATTAGGCAAGTCAGTAAAAAGTTTCCTATCTAAGGAACCCAGCAGATTGCATCAAGTCACTGACTGACGTCAGTGTGAGCAGCCATCCTCCACGACTCACTGGGGATCGAGAAGACAGAGCAGATACACACACACACACACACACACACACACGCACACACACCAAATACCAGGTAGTGTTTCTACAGCTACATTGTGATTTCTTAGTAAATATTAGGGCTGGGGGTAAACGATTATTTTTAAAACGATTATTCTGATGATTATTTTATCGAATAGTCGACTATTCTAATGACTATTTAGAAAATTAATCTAATGATTATTTTTCTATTGCACAATTAACGAAAACCAGAAAATCTCCAATAAATTCCTCAAAAAAATGGATAACTTCTTACTGTAAGAGAATAAACACTACAGGCCTTCCATTTTGTATAACACTGCGTTTATTGTGTTGGTTGGTTATGTTCTGGTGACGTGTAGAACTTGGGAGTGCAGGCTGCTGCCTGAGAGGTGGTAGAAGATGGAGTGTCTCCATGCTGCTTTGTTTTGGTCACTTATGTGCGTGAGGCGAGTGGTCTTACGACCCTTCCTGGGGAGTTTGGCTCGTGTGCAAAAAGGAAGGGACAATAACGGGATTTAAAAGTTAAAATGATGATCAGTTTTATTTACAACTACAAAAAAATCATAAATCTTTCCATCCACAGGTTGGGAATAGTAAAACTAATTCTGCCTGTGGGGAATTAAAACAAAAGTACAAATAACTAGGAATGTCCCACTGGGCAAAGATTACTGGGTTCTGGACCAAATAGGATCTCCAAAGGTCCAAACTCTAAACTGGGTGGTTAAACCAAACTCAGGGTGATATTTTAAACTAAACCGAAAACCCACAACACTCTAAATGTAATAAAAGGGAGATCTACACCACAGAAACGATGAACTCTAAACCAAAACGTAACAGCTTATCCCAACGCAAGAAGCTGTTAGCGAAGATGCTAACAGTAGCTTTACCAACGTTAAGTTCAAGTTACCAAGTTTAAATAAACCAAAAACACCCAGCAAACACGGAGGAGAGACTGCTACCACCAAAACAGCTCTCCTAATGTCTGAAAGAAGCTCCTTTATGAAGGGAGAAACGCTCCCGGTGATGTTCTACATCTGCGGTAGAGACGAAGCAGCGCATCTCACCCCGGAAGTTGTTGTCTGTTGCCGGGAGACGAAGGCGGGCAAAACAGGAAAATAATCTAATAGTGGACGGACGTTGTTCCGGGTCTTCGGTATTTGTCGGAGATGTTAGTGAAGGCGGAGAAGAGGGCGAACTAGAGGAAGAACAGGCAGATTCCTCCTCTATTTACAAACTCCTGGGGATGCAACAAGTGGGCGCGGTGCGTCGACTTCCGGATCTGACGTCGACAAATTTTTAGAATCGAGCCGTCGACTTCGTCGAGGCTTCGCTACAGCCCTAGTAAATATTCTATTTAGTAAGAAATAAACTTTATTATATTTATCCTAGTGAATCTATAATTAATTCAACAGGCAAACTAGTAGTAGCACATTCCATGTTAAAGAAGGTAAAATGTTATTATCAGGAGAGGGAAGTGGTCAGCAGCAGTGTTCAAGCCGATGGCCCCCTCCATGAGGCCACCACAGCTCAGCAGAACATCTTTGTAGCTTCTTCTGGGGAGAAAAACACTTAGAGAAACAATAACGTTAACCGCTGAGATAACAGGAAATAATGCAATTAGGTAGAAGTGGTAGAAGAAAGTAGCAGAGTGTGGACAGTGGTCAGTATGTCCTCCAGCAGTCTAAGCCTATAGCAGCATAACAGAGATAACTCTGGATAAGCTAGCCTTTTAGATGGAGGCATGTTGGAAATTGAGAAAATTGAGCTGACATGCCTGATGCTGCAGTCTGCTTCCAGTACGTTTCCTGCATGTTTTAGATCATGAACACAGTTAATTTGTTTAATTTAGAGATGAACCACTCCTGTAGATACTAAAAGGTGCTATAAGCAAGCCAAAACTACCTAGTTCCCCTTTAACGGGTTGGAACTACTTATGAATACTCCCCACCCCGGGAAGTCGTTGATGCTGTTAGGCCCTATTGTGTCGGAAAAGTTTATTTGATTAGATGCAGGAGGGTGTTTTGTAATTAGGTTTAGGGTAGCATTGTAGGTGCTGGAAAGTTGAAACCTGAGGCCTTCTTCTCTGTTTAGTGTCTGTTTTTATTCTCAAACGTTTATCTTTTCTGTCCAGAATGTGAACTTTGTCCTCTTCAAGAGTCTGTCCCTTGTCCTTCAGGTGTCAGTGGATGCCAGAGTGTTGACCTGAAGAGGTGGGTCTCTTGTGTTGTGCCATACGCTTGTGCAGCTGTTTAGTTTCCCCAATGTAAAGGTCTGGACAGACAAAAGGCAACCAAATTCTGAAGAATTAAACACTTTTCTAGGTTTCAGTCTCACACACACACACACACACACACACACACACACACTTGAAAAACATAACAAATTCCATTTAGTAAAATGTAGCATTGCACCATTTTAGCCAAGAAATAAATCAACAAATCCAAGAAAATAAAAGCTTAACTTAAAAACTTTAATCTAAAACAAAAATCTTACTAATTTTATTTATAAGAGACTTTTCCAACACAAATGAAGTCCCTCATCTGTGAAGAGTCAGATGTTTACAGGGAAATGAGCAAACAGCCAAAGTGCTGTGTGAAGAAATAAAACCCTCTCCTTTCCTGCGGGTGTGAGACTTTTCAGCTGTAAAAGACCTCCCTATAGTTTTCATTTCCAGTAACATCTCGCCATTGTGACATATTCCAACTGAAGCTCTTATCTGTTTACTTTTAGGGAGAAACAAACAGCTGTGAAACAGGGCAGAGAGTCAGTATCTGAAGCAGAAGTCACTGAGAAGAACAAACGTGCTTCTGAACGTTTCTACACACAACAAAAAGAAATGGGAGGTGTGATCATCTTTATCTTGCTCCTGACTTCAGTCAAGTCCCAGCACAATAATGGTGAGGCTACTTGTTCCTGAAGACTCCATCAAGTTGTCTAATTTTTGCAGTCTCATGTTGTTTTAATTGTCTCCATGCTTTTGTTCTAAGCAGATATTGACGCAGTTTAAAATGTTGTGTTTATTTGCTATGAATGTTTTTCTTCTTTGAGGAATTTTAGGAAAACTACAACCAAACATTCAATCGTGTGGAGTAAAATTAATTTGTGTAAGTGATAACTGATATTTTCATCTGTGTGTTAGAGTTAGGGTTGTGATGAAAGGTACTTCAAAAATGTAGCAAACGCTGCCCTGATATGTTATATTTTGATTAGAATAGAATAGCGTAGAATAGAATAGAATAGAATAGCATTTTCCTTTATTATCCCTCTGATGGGAAATGTTGGTGTCACAGTAGCAATTAAGTTCATTATAAGGAGGGTAAAATATAATAAACAAGAAAAATAACTGAAATACCTAAAAGATTCAAAGATCTGAATGTACAGACCCTTTGACGCATGACATCACGCACCCACAGCCCCGCCCCCTAGCTTCTGGCTGAAGGGCAATATGTCGGTGTTACACCAAATTCTGCGACCCAACACAATTTTTGACCCCAGGGGGCAGTGTTGCATTTTGTTGTGTCTGTACATCCTAAATTGGCATAAAACAAGAAGATGCTACGTTAAAACTGTAAACTGCGTAAGATTTGAGGAAGTTGTGCGGCGCAGACCATTGGCACACATTTTGATAGTGGCTATCACAGAATGTGACCACCTGCATCTCAGTAACAATGCAGATGTCAGAGGTCAAATGCACTTTTTTATAAACTACAAAATCAGAGAAGTTACCAGAAACAGTTTGTGTGATGGAAAAATCATTATAACTGACGCAACAAAATGAAACACTGCTTCCTGGGGTCACAAATTGTGATGGGTCGCAGAATTTTGTGTAGCACCGGCACCTCCCCGTTGGCCACTGTTGTGTTTATTAAATACGAGTGAAATAAAATCTATCAGCAGGGTTAACACACATGGAGCTGTGGGCTGCACAAGTAAAGAAAAGAAGGGCAGTAAACGGAAATTTTTACTAGTTCCCAGCTCATAAAATTAGCTGAATGCAATGGTTAACAGCCATGCAGAGATTTGTAGAGAAAAAACTCACCGACATCGTGGCAGACAAAGTCTTATGAAAGAATAAAAAGCAGAATATCTGCCCCACATGTCCAGACCAAGCCCCCACATTG